TGAATAAATTAGATAAAGTACAGAATAAGGCGATGAGGATAGTGGGTAGTTACATCAAAACTACACCTATTCACGTTATGGAAAGTGACTTATGTTTGCCTCCATTGTATATTAGACGTAAGTATCTGGCATTTAAATGCTGTCTTAAGGCTAAGTCATGGACTAATAATGTGACGGGTAAATGCTTAGCTGATCTTGGAGCTCTGAGACAACACAGATATTGGTCAAGTAAGAAACACCCGGTTTTGATGGACACATACCATAGTATTAAAGAAGAAAAAATATATTCATCTAGTATTTTAGACATGTTTAAATTGAATATATGGTGTAGTATAATTGACATTAACAGACTAATTAAAATTGACTTACAGAACGTTAGCAAACCCAAAAGTTCATATGAGACTAATTGTTTAAGAAATAATACTTTACAGGAGTTAAGTGACACATACGCTGGTTGGTATAAATTGTTTACTGATGGTTCAAAGAGCTCTAATATTGGTGCGGCTTACTATGATCCGGTGGCTAAAACAAGCGGATGTTTCAGCATTATATCCGAGGTTTCAATTATGACAGCAGAGTTGTTAGCTATCTCCGAGGTTCTATCTTACGCAACCACAATTCAACACACTAGTATAGTGATATGCACGGACAGTAAGAGCTCACTCCAACATCTGGCTCGATGCGCCACTGGACACAGAGGTGTACCAATAGCCTTTGCAATTTTGAATAAAATATATACCATTCTTTCAAAAAACGTCAATTTAGTTTTACAGTGGATACCGTCACATGTTGGTCTGCGAGGAAACGAGGAGGCTGATAGACTAGCTAAGATAGCAGCAACGTCGGGTATTGAGATTTATGTGCTACCAGTTTATTCTGAAAGACTTAACAAATTTAAAAACTTATGTAATTATGAATGGGCAAAATACTTTAGTGAGAAATCAAAAGTCAAAGGTATCTGGTATAAAACTATACAATATGAGCCTCCTCAAGTCCCTTGGTTTTGTAATTTTAAAGTAAAGAGAAATGTCTTAGTAACTGCTCTCAGAATTCGTTCCGGACACATGCCACTACGATTCTTTGCTTTCCTTATGAAAAAGGTGGATTCTCCGATATGTCCAGTTTGTAGTAATAAAATAGAGGATGTCTACCATCGTCTAGTGGAGTGTGTCGGGAATGATCCTGAGAGAAAGATTTTGATTAATTTATTGAATATTAATAAGTTAGATGTAGGAGT